TTGCTTGAGAAGGATTGTCAGATAAGTTGTGTCTTTTATTTCTTTTATTTTGTAAACTTATTTTTATATATGAAATCAGTGTACTAACATATCCTTCTCACGAATTCTGAGTAGTCCTCTTTATCCTTCTCCATACTTTGAGATATGGTCTTGTGAAGAATTGATTTTATTTTATACGATTTTAAATGTCAATAATTTGTGATGATTTAAACTCTGATCTTCATCTACTTTTTCATCTGACCAATTGAATTGTTAAAATATGTTGAGAAACATATGATTCGGTAAATGGGGGGCTGCGATTTCTACAACATTGTGAGAATCACATTTGATTTCATGGGAGAGGATGTCGTCCATGGAGTTGAGTGCAAATAAATAGAGAAATATAATTTGTTGAATGTAAAATTGGAGATTTTAATGTGACATTAAATCCCCAATTTGGTCTAGTTGACTAGAAACTGATGCGAGATTATTAGCCCTTAGGTGAGGTAGTAGTGAGAGCTCTTGAGTGGCAGCAATATCCTCCCAGCCTAACCATAGAATTAGGGACCAAAGATCTTTTTCTTAAATTTGAACTTTTCGCCACAAAAACTTTGTTTAGTTTTCATAATTTTACTTTTTAAAGTTTAACAAAATTAGTTTAATTAACTTTGTCTTTTTACTGCATTTTATTCAACATTCACTCTATTACTTTATATTCAAATTTTGCACTTCACTTTTGAAGTTTAAAATTGTTGTTCACATTACAATCTTAAGAATTTACTAATATGCATTTCCAACTTCCCTATGGGATTGATATCTAGGACTCCATTAGAGCCCTTTGTTACTTGAGTGATATGCATACTTGAGTTATTTTTAGGAGATTTGGGAGTTTAAAGAGTTTTAAGAGATAAAACTATTTTCATTAAAGTTATTTTTGTTGGGATTAATTTGCATATTTATTATTGTATATGTCGGGTGTATTTTGTAATATTTAAAGATATTTGCAAAATTAACACACTAAATCCACGCGCATCAAGTGCCACTTTACAGAGAGCTATCGCCAAAAGCGCCATTTTATAGAAAGGCGACACCTGAAGCGTCAGAATTGGCGTTTGAAGTGCCAGAACCCAAAAAACATGGACTTGGGCAATTTGGCGCCTTAAGGGCCAAAATCAGCGCCTGGGCGCCAGAGATGACTTTTTTATGAAATAAGGCTGTTTGGGATGAATTTTGCACGAATTTTGAAGGGTCCACATGTTTCAAATGCACAATGGAGTGATTCAATGCATCTGGACACTTTGGAAGGAATTCAATAGAAAATTCGTGCAAAATTCGTGCAATAAAAGAATGGACAATGGAGTGATTCAATGCATCTGAACACTTTGGAAGGCTCTTTGATGAAGGGATATGTCTTTTGAATCAATAGAAATTTTTTTTTGGAATTCAAAAGGTTTGACTTCAGGAAATAACTTTGGAGAGAATTTTGAATTCTTTTTAGAGGGAGGAAGCCTCTAAAATAAGAGAAGAGAGAAAGAGAAGTCTAGGGCTGAAGAGGGGAGTGTGAGAGAGAGAGAGTGGAGGTGTGTAAAGTGTGGCGAGAGAGAGAGAGAGAGAGTTAGAGTGAGAAAGTCAAGGGCTTGGAGATTTTCTTTAAGATTTGTAAGAGGAGAGGGAAAGTGAGAGATTTCTTCTTCATTACATCTTCAAGAGAGAATTGAGAGTGCTTGTAAAGAGGGAAAGTGCTTCAAGGGAACTTCTAGGGATTTTCTTGGGAAGGATTGTGAGATAAGTTGTGTCTTTTATTTCTTTATTTTTTAAACTTGTTTTTATATATGAAATCCATGTTTTGTCGTATCATTCTCATGAATTCTGAATAGACTTCTTTATCCTTCTCCCTACTCTGAGATATGATTTTGTTAAGAATTGATTTGGTTTTATACTATTTTAAATGTCAGAAATTTGTGATGATTTGAACTTTGATCTTCATTTACTTTTCAATCTAATCAATTTAAATGTTAAAATGTGTTAAGAAGCATATGATCCAAAAGGGCTATGATTTTTACAACATGGTGAGTGTCACATTCAATTTCATGGGTGAGGATATTATCAATGGGGTTGAGTGCAAATAAATAGAGAAATATATATTGTTGGATGCAGAATTAGGGATTTTAAGGTGACATATTAAAATCATATATTTAGCCTAACTGATATATTTAGTCTAACTGATTGGAAACTAATGCGATATTGTTAGCCCTTAGACAAGGGAGTAGTCGGAGCTCTGAAGTGAGAGTCGGTATCCTCCCAACCTAACCATGAAATTAAGGACCAAACTCTTGATTAGTCAATGATTAGTCAATGTTCTTGATTAGTCAATGTTCTTTATGCACTTGAAAGAGGGTAAAGAATAAGATTACTCCTATAATGTTTCATTTGGATGACATATGTATAAAATGCTTCATCTTCTACACATATATCCTTATATTATATGTTGGTTCATTTGGATGACCCGGAACGATATTAAACATGCGAATAGTAAACCTCGATGCTCCAATGTCATCTCCAATACTCTTTCTTATGCTCTTAAAATTTATATTATGCTCTTAAAATTTACAAGTTCAGCTGTAAGAAGGATCATTTCTTCTCGAGTATTATATATTTTGACTCTCTTCTTCACCCTCTACAGAGTAGGTCGCTTTCCAAACCAACCTTGGTGAAGTGACAACCGCCCCCAATGAGGTGGGTGAAAATTATTATGGATGGTAGTTGGAATCAAAGCAGTGCTGGTTTTCGGGAGTTATGCGTAACCACAATGGTCACTGCCTGCTCTTTTTCTCTTCTCCATGAATTGCAGACTCGGCTGTGGAGTCTGAAGCTCACGCAATTTTAATGGCGGTCACTATTGCGGTCTCTTTGAATTAGTCTAATATTTTGATCGAGACTGACTCTAAGATTCTATTTGAGATGTTAAATCAAGGGAGGCTTGTCACTTGGGATGTTGCTTAACACATTAACCGTATAATACGATTATCCTCTACAGTTTCTATTCTTTGGAGATTTATTCATCGAGAAGTTAATAGGTCGGCTAATTGGGTGGAAAAACGCGGTGTCGCCACCTCCACGATCTTAGTCAATATGGTGCCTCCCTCTCTTTTACAGGTTTTACTTCATGGGGATTTAATGGTTGCACCTTATCTTAGGAATGTTAATGGCTGATTGGTTTGGTGTATTTATTGCTTATGGTTTGGTTTCCACTTGCTTGATAGAGATGTTTCAATTTCTTAGACACTATTTACTAGATTTTCATTTTTTGGTATAGGGATTGAATTGGGTTTGGAGTGGCATGATTTTTTCCTCCCTCATACATTCCAGAATTGTGGATCTCATATTTGGTGCAGGTGGTTTTCGGCACATTCCAGATTTTCTACTCAATTTTTGGTACAGAAGCTCCTTTTCCTATTTTTGGCCTACAACTGTTGGAATGGTTTTCTCTCCACTGTTATCACTTCTTCCATTGGATGATTACTATTTGCTTGATAAGACTTTTGATGGCCTTTGGTGGAAAGGTTTTGATGTATGTTTATGCAGGTTAAACGCTGTTTCTTTGCTAAAGCTATTTCAACTTTTTTATAAAACTCGACTCAAGATAGATGGGGTAGCTTTGCAGTTATTCAGCCTTCAATCCAACTGATTTTTTGTCCTTTTTTCTATAGTACAAGTTCTGGCTCTATTGGATATACTTTTGTTGGAGATACATGCATACTATATTCGGTATACCTTCATTTTCGAAGTTTCAGTTTTTGTTTTTTGAGTTGGATGTTAGCTATTGACATTTGTATTAGGGCTCGGGAACCCCCTAACGAGTGTGTCATGTATGGTTTTGTAATTTTAGAAGGGGACCCCTCCCTACCCAACTTTTTGTACCCTTTTTTGAGATTAACGCGTAAGGAGCCGTATAACGCTATATGTATATATATATATATCTCCAATTCATTAAAGAAACCAAAACAAAATACAAAGGGGAAGAAAAGAAAAAAGGTGACAGGAGAGGGCCTTTATAAAGGAAGGCAACCTCTCAAGCCCACTACAGGTGTTGTCTGATATAAGGGAGAAGCAACAGGTCCAGTGGGGGTGGAATCCTTCTGCTCACTAAAGGTTCTTCTGTATAAAGACCCCTTTTAGCCAGCCAATTGGATGGTCTATTTCCTTCTCTGTGAATATGGGAGAACTTGATAGAGCAAAATTTAAGCAATTGCTGAATACCAGAGATCCAGCTGATTAAGTTCCATGGGGTATCTGAAGACCCATAGATAATGTTTATAAGTTGCAAGGAGTCAGATTCAACCCATAACTGATCTAACAGGCAAGATTTGGCTAAGGTGATGGCCCAAAAAACAGCTTGACATTCTGCTTCAAGTGAGTCAAAAACATTAACAGGAGATTGAAAATATAAGATACATTTCCCCTCATGGTTCCTGAAAACCCCACCAATGCCAGCAGACTGAGATTTGTGGCTGCCATCTATGTTAATTTTGGTCCAGCCAAACTTTGGGAGGGTCCAGCAAATTGTCACAACATATATATATATATGGCTTGGGAAAAGAACCAATCTCCAACACAGCCTTAAACTTTTTAAATTTGATCA